GCTCAAGTGTTTGGGGAGGGGAGCCTGGCAGTGGGGCAAAGGAACCCCTGGAGGCAGCAGGAAAGGGGAACCCCACAGGAGGGGGGGAGGCAGAGGAGGAGGTCCTCAAACTCAAAACTGAAAACAGCTGGAGAGGGAGGGAAGGAGGGGGGGACTTCCTCTTCTTCGCCTCAGCTACGTTTGCCCTTTCGTGGAATCTTTTCGGAAAAAGGGTTTTTCTATTTTTCTATTTTCTATTTTCAGCTATTTGTCTAAAAGGGTATAGAGCAGTGTTGGTGAACTTTTTAGAGACCGAGTGCCGCAAAACCACCCCACCACCCCCTTCCCGTTCTGCCCTGCCCACTAGGCCACCCACCACCTCCATGGCCCGCCACAGATCACCCAGGCAGCCTAGCAGCACCATGGCGGCCATGCCCTCTGCCCATGCCCCGTAGCATCATCTGCGCGCGACGGGGTGCAAGGGCGGAGTCTTGTCCCTGTTGCCCGGCTACCATGTCCTTGGCTGCGCTGCTTCGTGTGGGCCGCGCCCAGGGGCGACTCTCCTCCGGGGGAGCTGCTGCTGAGGAGGGGGCCGTGGGAGGAGGCGGGGCTGGGGAGACGGTGCGTGTACCCACAGAGAGGGCTCCGAGTGCCGCCTCTGGCACCCATGCCATAGGTTCGCCACCATTGGTACAGAGTCTTCTGCTTGAGCAGGGGGCTGGACTAGAAGACCTCCAAGGTCCCTTCCAACTCTATTCTGATCGATTGGTTCGAGGCTGCCCCACAAGCAGGGGGTGCGGGTGGCTGGGGGTTGCTCAAGAGCACCCTCTGCCAGGTGCTCCCTCAGCACCTTCCCTGGTTCGCTAGGTGAGGAGGGGTCCCTGCGCTAAGAAGGCAGGGAGGGTCCCGACGTTTCACGAGGGGATCAGAAAGGCTTACAACTCGCCCATTTCCCAGACAGGCGGCCCATGAAAAGAAGCCGGGGTGCCCCAGAGGGTCAGGATGCTGACTCCATTAGGGCTGTGGTGGCTGCCCTCCTCTCTTCTGGGACCCACCCCGGGGACCCCTGAGAGCACCAGGCAATTAAAGCAAGACAATAAATAATACATGGATAGAAACAAGAATTTTATCCACCAGAAGAAAACTAAATTTGATCTGACTTCTTTGTTTTGCCAACGGCTGGGGACCCAGGCTAGCAGATCAGAAGCTGGTCTGGATCAGGCGGATGTCACACAGATCAGGTGGATGTCACACAAGCAGATCTTTCTCTCTATAATTATATTTGCAATTTCCCTTTTTTGCTTCCGTTTTTGGCCGGCTGTTTGCTTCCTGATGGGTTTTTGCCTGTTTATTAATCGGATTCATGGGCCACTTTTCTTGCCATCAGATAATAGACAGAATAACAGAGTTGGAAGGGACCTTGGAGGTCCTCTAGTCCAACCCCTTGCTCAAGCTTTTGAATCTCTTCTTGAAGTCCTCCAATCTTCTGGAGGCAAGCCATTCCACTTATTGTTCTCACTGTCAGAAAATTTCTCCCTAGTTCTAAGTTGGATCTCTTCCTAATGATCTTCCATCTGTAACTTCTTGTCCTGCCGTCAGATGCTTTGGGGAACAGGTTGACGCCCTCAAGAAGTCAAGGCCACTTGCTCATTGTTGGTTGGGGTGCTGCATGTTTTTTGCTTCCCTGCTATTAAATGGTGTTGGCTTCCCCAAGAGCCAGCTGAGGTTCATCCTACCAGGAAAGGCCTCTCTCTCCCTTTTCCCAGAGAACCGGCTGCTCCAGTGCCTTTGACTCCTTCACCCCTCTGCAGCTCTCCGGCTGCGTTCCCACAGGAGGCTGAACTTGGCTGCTATAATAGTCTGTGTAGAATAAGGTCAAAGCTAATCTTAGCCTGTTGTGTGTTTGCAGCAGCTTTGAGGGATCGGATCGAGCATCTTGTAACCCCCTCTTCCTTACCACAAAGAAGGCAGCAGAGGCCCTAGAGCTGCAAGGTGTGCGTTTGTCCTATTAAAAACGTAGGCTATTCCAGGTGGGCACCACTTGGGCACCTTCCCAGCATTCACGTGCAACCATTTACAATCCAGATCTGGTGTGTGTTGCAAGTGACCCCAAACTCTTAACAATCTGCAGTTGCAGGAACAGGTTCCCCCACCCGTCCACTCACCCGTCCCCAGGAAGCTTCCATATTTGGAGGGTCATGCATTTCTGCTGGCCTTGCTTTGAGATCCTGCCACATTCCTGGCAACCCCCAAAGTCCAGAGACAGTTTGCAGACTGGATTTGAGGTGTCTGCTCTGCCTGCAAAGGCGGCAAGCCGAATCAACTCTGGTGCTTCTGGGTCTGTGCCGTTTTTGTTCCTTTTCCAATTGACCTCAGCCGTAAAAGTAGTCTTGTTCCCAGCAGCAGTTGAATTATATTTTCTTTCTTTTTAAATAAAATTTTAATTACATTTTTACAAAGAACATAAATGCTAGCAAACTAATAAGGAGTAAAGGAGGGAGGGAGGGAGGGAGGGAAGGAAGGAAGGAAGGCAACAGTGCAAAAAGCATAAGTAAAAAGAAGCTTCCTATTTCCTTTGCAGCAAATATTACAATTACAAAATTATCTCTTACCCTATGATTACAAAAAAAGCTCACTTTTTTCTATTCCCCATTTTTTTTAAACCATCAAAACCACAATCCATCACTGCATTTTTTCCCCTGTTTTATGCAAAAAGTCTATAAGGGTTTCCAGTCAACCACGAGTATAGATAATGTTTTTTCTCTGATCAAGGAAGTCAATTTAGCTGTCTCTGCAAATTCCATCGTCTTCACCAACCCATTCCTCCACTGCGGGTAGCTTTGATCCACATTTTCATTATGCATCTTCTACAGTGTCAAGTCACAGCCTCTCAAATCCATCTGCTGAGGGAGAGGGAGGCCTAGGATTAGGATTGGGCAACTTCCTGTGAAAGATCTCTAGAAGGTCTACAGCCTGGAATTAAGGAGAAACTTTCTAACAGTGAGAACAATCAACCAGTGGAACGTCTCGCCTTCAGAAGTTGTGGGTTCTCCAACACTGGAGGTTTTTAAAAACAGACTGGACAGCCACTTGTCTGGAATGGAATAGGGTCTCCTGCTTGAGCAGGGGGTTGGACTAGAAGACCTCCAAGGTCCCTTCCAGCTCTATTCTGACTGATAGATTGAAGGTCAGCAAACCAGGTCTCCCTTTGGCAGAAGCCACGTTGACTCACCTTCAGCGAGGCTTCTCCTTCTCCTTTGAGTAGATTGCTGGTCTGGCTCATTCATCCTTCTCCCGGCGCGGTTGCTGCCCAGGATGCCCCGAAGTCCTCATGGCAAATCAGCAGAATTATTGTGCTCACCGTTGTAGAGACGGGAACATTTTTTAAATCTGTGTGTTTTCATTTCAGATCTTCCTTCCGTGCCAAGCTGCACATTATGCAGCGGAGGATTAAAAACTAATAAAGCAATCGTATAATGCTGACAGGAAAGAGCAGTTCCAGAAATCAAAAACCCAGCTAGATTAAAACAGGAGCAGGCTAAAAAGAGAGAGAGAGGGAGAGAGAGAGAGAGAGAGAGAAGTTATTAGGTGTTTTAATTAGACAGAGGAAAGTACTCCCAAAAAGGGAAAAAGAAAAAGAAAAAAGTCTGCAGATGGAAGAAAGTCTGCAGAGATACATGGGGCCTGGAGACGCTCATGAGAAAGACCTTTGCAAAGCGGATTTTCCTGCAGAAATTCTGGTCAACCTCTTGCTGAGGCTGGAGGGGGCACTCTAGAGGTGCCTAGACCAGCTTTGCAATCCAGAGCTTGGTTATTAAAGAGGATCAGAATCAGAATCGAGTTAGAAGGGACCTTAGAGGTCTTCTAGTCCAACCCCCTGTTCAAGCAGGACACCCTATATAATTCCAGACAAATGGCTGTCCAGTCTCTTCTTAAAAACCTCCAGCGATGAAGCACCCACAACTTCTGGTGGCAAGCTGTTCCACTGATTGTCCTCACTGTTAGCCAGTTTCTCCTTAATTCCAGGTTGCTTCTCTCCTGGATTAGTTTCCATCCATTGCTTCTTGTCCTGCCTTCTGGTGCTTTGGACAATAGGTTGACCACCCCTCTTCTTTGTGGTAGCCCTTCAAATACTGGAATACTGCTATCATGTCCCCCCTAGTCCTTCTTTTCTCTAGACTGGCCATACCCAAATCCTGCAGTGGTTCTTCATAGGTTTTAGTCTCCAGGCCTTTGATCATCTCAGTTGTTCTTCTCTGCTCTTTTTCCAAAGTCTCAACATCTTTTTAATAATGTGGTGACCAAAACTGGATGCCCTGTTTCAGGAGTGGCCTTGCTAAGATGAGATCAGCTTGAGGGGCAGGGATGAAGGGTGGTCTTGGTGACCTTTGCTCCTGCCATGACAGGTTCTCTGCCTTGCATCACGCTGCTCTCAACGGCAACACGGAGCTCCTCCTGCTGCTGCTGGAGGCCCAGGCTGCGGTGGACATCAAGGACAACAAAGGCAAGCATGGAGCTGGGGGGGGAGGGGTGTGATGGTGCCAAGTCAGGAGAGCCCCCCCCCCCCGGTAGGGACGGGGCGTGGGAAAGGAGGCCACGGTTGGGTCCTGGCTCTAGAGCACCAACCAAGTTTGTGCGGGGAGGAAAATTCTCGTTCTCTCCCAGAAGGAAGGATGGCCTTCAGCCAGGACGTCCAGACAGGGCCAGTTGAAAGCCATCTTCTTCCTTTGGGGAGAGATCTACAAGATCATTTACAAGAACTCCCCTGGTAGATGTCCCACTATTCATTGGAGCCAAAACCAAATACAGAAATTATCGGGCAGGACAAACTTACATCCCTGACTTCATAACTGGCAACGCCTCGTAAAAACTGCCAATTGCCCCTTCTCAGATGGATCTGTAATCTGAGTTCACCTCTTAGCTTTGTGGGACGGCCGTTCTTTTGAATGGCCGAAGGATCTTCTCTCTCTCTCTCTCTCTCTCTCTCTCTCTCCATGCCTGAATTTCTGCCTCTTCGGCAGGCATGCGCCCCTTGCACTACGCTGCCTGGCAAGGGAAGAAGGAGCCCATGAAACTTGTGCTGAAGGCCGGCTCCTCGGTCAACATCCCGTCGGACGAGGGGCAGATCCCTTTGCACTTGGCAGCCCAGCACGGACACTACGATGTGGTAAGAGGCGGCTTGAAGCAGTCTCCGTCGGAGGAGCCCCGGGGATTGAAGTTCACACATCTTCAAGGTGCCACGGTTGAGAAAAGCTGCCTTGACAGTTCTGCCCACCCCCCTCACCTTTACAGCTCCAGAAACTAGGAAGTCTTTTCTGAGCCTCTTGCTCTGCCCACTAGGCAGCTGCGGGCTGTGCAGCCTTCTTATCTAATTGTCCATCTCTTTGCCCAGGTTCCAATGGCCATTCCCACATGCCATTACAGTCTCCCTCTCCCAGAGGCAGGTGGGCTGTGGGCAGCGGTGTCTCTAGCAGTGGCCATTGGCTCCAAAAGCACCCCCAGCCATTTGACCTGTGTGCCCTGTGGGTAGTGCACATTAAAAGGAGGGGATTGACAGGTTGCACCCCCTAGGTGGGGGGTGGTGTTTGGAGGAGGAAGAGGCGACTGGGGTGGGGGTGGTGTTCAAGTGGAGCTAAGGGGTGCATTTGGTAGGCTGGGTCTGTGCCAAAGGGGGTCTCTGGGCTTCCCACTCTCTCTCTCTCCATCCCCCAGTCAGAAATGCTCCTCCAGCATCAGTCCAACCCCTGCATCCTGGATAACAGCGGGAAGACCCCTCTGGACTTGGCCTGCGAATTTGGCCGTGTTGGGGTAAGTCTGATCTTTGGGGGGGTTGTGAAAGAGAGCCAGCCACAAACCCAGTTAAGGGCTTGTCTGCAAAATATGCTGTCAGATGGGAGCTGGTGGGGGCATCAGTACTGCACTCCCCCCCCCACCTGAGAGTCCAGCACTCTTTGCTGGAACTGCCCCCACTTTCTTTGGCCCTTTCCTTTGAGATTTGGGGGTGAGATGTCAAATGTCCCTTTGATGGCCCCCCTGTGAACCACCTGCTTAACACCCCGGTGGACCTTTGCATTGCTGGCCACGAGGCCAGGCTTTGGGGCAAAGGGGTTTGTGTCGTTTTGTGAGTATAAATGTGAAACCTCGGAGATTTCTACAGGATGAATGGCAAAACCTGGGCTTTTCTTGAGGGTACTAATTGGGGTACCGAGGGTCCCTCGTGTCGTGTTGGAAGTGGGGGGCATTTGGCTGCTTTGGAGAGCTCTGGCTGTTCTCTGGGGGATGGGAGGAAATTCTTGGGCACCACCTCTGTTCCTTGGCCTGCCAGGTGGTGCAGCTGCTTCTGAACAGCAACATGTGCGCAGCCCTGTTGGAGCCCAAGCCGGGGGACATCACTGACCCAAACGGGACCAGCCCACTGCACCTGGCCGCCAAGAATGGGCACATTGATGTCATCAGGTGAGGTGAGGGGAATCCAGGCCTGAAGAAGACTCTGGGCAAAAGTGAGGGTGAGGATGGGTGGCCCATTCTGACAACATGCAACCCGGGCCGGTCTCCTTTCCTGTGAAGGTGGCAATGATGGAGGAGCTGCTCCAACCAGAGGCAGTGAGGGGGGTCCAAAGAGGACCATCTGCACAGGGACCTGTGGAGGAGGTTTAAAAAAAAAAAGCAAGATGGCAGCCGTGGCTGGGACAAAGCCCCATCGCTCTTGGTGTCCATCCAGGCCTGTAAAAAGGGGCAGGATGTCAGTCACGTGATGGTGGCCACCTTCTTGATCTCTTTGACACCACCACCAGACGGCCCCGAAGGATCCTGCCCCACCTGCCTTCCCTGGGCTTGGGACGTCTCAAAGCGAAGCATTCTCAGACAGGTTGCCCAGCTTGTTCCTGAGGAGAAAGGAGACCCCTCTCCTTCTCCTGGGATTCCCCAAAGGAGCACCTGTTGAACTTCTGCATTCCACCCCTTCCCTCCCTTGTACTGGAGGTTTTAAGAAGAGTTGATATCATTCTGGACAAATGGCAGCCATTTTTTCCAGAATGATAGAGGGTCTCCTGCTTGAGCAGGAGGTTGGACTAGAAGACCTCCAAGGTCCCTTCCAACTTTTGTTCTGTTACTCTCTTGCAGGCTTTTGCTCCAGGCTGGCATAGACATTAATCGTCAGACGAAGGCAGGAACCGCCTTGCACGAAGCGGCCCTGTGTGGCAAGACGGACGTGGTGCGCCTCCTCCTGGATGTAAGCCCCCCCCTTTGCCCAGGGATGAAGGGTCCCACAGAATCTTCCCGAAGGGCCTGCAGACCCCCTGGGACTGTGGCTATGGGCAACTGGCACCCAGGGGCAACTTCAGCTGCTCTTCACTTGGAGCCCCCTGTGCCTCCTGAAACAGCCCCCCCTTCTCTTTCACAGAGCGGGATCAATGCCCATATCCGGAACACCTACAGCCAGACCGCCCTGGACATTGTCCACCAGTTCACGGCCACGCAAGCCAGCAAGGAGATCAAGCAGATGCTGCGAGGTGAGGATGGGGGCCTCGTGGGGATGGGGTAGGGGTGGGGGCAGGGGTCTTTTCATTTGAAGGGCAGAGCAGCTAGAAATCCCTCTTCAGTTGAGCTGCACCTGGTGGTGTCCTTTCCTTCGTAACTGGGAGGGGGGCCTGCAAGATAGCTGACAAGGTTTTTCTATCTTTTCTTGCTATTCCTTGCCGGCTTGCACTTCTGCTCAAGACAGTAAGCTTTGCGCGCGCCCTCCCCCTTCAGTTTTCCTCCCAAGGACCTTTGTGTGACAAGCAGGAACTGGCTCGAAGCCAGCCCATTGGGACCCCCTTGTCCCAACCCAGCAGCTTACCTGGGACCCCTGCACGACATGCGCTGCGGCGCCTCCTCCGACACCAGGAAAACGAGGCCATTTTGACCATCCCACATCTATAGCTCTAACGGTGTGATGAAGCTCTTGGCTCTGCCTCCATCTGCTGGCTCAGGTTGGGGAAGACAGGCCGAGCGTGATGGGGTGCTGGTGGAAGAGCCAGAGGACCAGGCCTGAGCCCCCCCCCCAAGGATGCCGATTCCTGCCCGGCAGCCTTGGTCAGAGTGAGCAGAGCAACGGGGGCAGATGAGGAGGACAAAACCCCTGGGGCAGCCGGAGGAATAGGCGGGTTTTTACTTGCCTCCTGAGATTGTAGGAGTTCCATCACTGGGGCTTTTCAAGAATAGACTGGACCACTGTTTGACTGGGATGACATAAGGCTCCTGCCTTGGGCAGGGGGTTGGACTAGAAGACCTCCAAGGTCCCTTTCATCCCTAGGATACCAAGCCAGGTTTTTTTGTCACAGTCTGGGGTTTTGGAATATGTGGATGATGAGGAAGTGTGGGGGGGGGCTTTGAACTTCCTTCCTTCCTTCCTTCCTTCCTACTTTCCTTCCTACTTTCTTTCTTTCTTTCTTTCTTTCTTTCTTTCTTTCTTTCTTTCTTTCTTTCTTTCTTTCTTTCTTTCTTTCTTTCTTTCTTTCTTTCTTTCTTTCTTTCTTTCCTTCCTTCCTTCCTTCCTTCTGTTTTTTTGTCACCACTGTCTGGGGCTTTTGGAATATGTGAATGATGAAGAAGTGTGTGTGTGGGGGGGGGGTTGAACTTCCTCCCTTCTTCCCATCCTTCCTCTCCTTCCTCTCCTTCCTTCCTTCCTTCCTTCCTTCCTTCCTTCCTTCCTTCCTTCCTTACTTACTTACTTACTTACTTACTTACTTACTTACTTACTTCTTACTTACCAAAAGGTAACTCTGGCCAGCTTACAATGTTAAAACAGTAAAACTATACAAAACATTGATATGATATGATGATATGATATGATATGATATGATATATAACCTGGAACAGGAATTCGCCCACCTGCAGGGTTGACCCATGCCCCTCCTAGCCAGGCAGAGTGTGAGCAGCTCTAGGAGACCCTTAGTAGCTTGCTGGGAGGGTGTAAGGCCTGCTGGTCTTAAAGGAAGGAATGGTGGGCCTTCTCCTGAAGAAGCCTCCATAGACCCGGCTTTTCTTCACTAGGTTTGCTCAGTTTCCAGCCTTCCATTCCTGATGGATGTGTTGAGAAGTTTTAGTACCCAGGGATAAGTCAATTATTTGGATCCTTTTCAATCAGAACCCGGGCCTGGGAGGAAAGCAGTAGTGATTGTTCTGGCCAATTCCTTTGATGGACTCCTAGTTTTCCTCTATTAGATCCATCTTTGATACCATTGATCATTAAATCCTTGAGAACCCTAATACAGTGAGGGAAAAATTATTTGATCCCCTGCTGACTTTGTACGTTTGCCCACTGACAAAGAAATGATCAGTCTATCATTTTAATGGTAGGTTTATTTTAACAGCGAGAGACAGAATAACAACAAAAATGCATTTCAAAAAAGTTATACATTGATTTGCATTTTAATGAGTAAAATAAGTATTTGACCCTTTCTCAAAACATGACTTAGTACTTGGTGGCAAAACCCTTGCTGGCAATCACAGAGGTCAGACGTTTCTTGTAGTTGGCCACCAGGTTTGAACACATCTCAGGAGGAATTTTGTCCCACTCCTCTTTGCAGATCCTCTCCAAGTCATTAAGGTTTCGAGGCTGACGCTTGGCAGCTGGAACCTTCAGGTCCCTCCACAGATTTTCTATGGGATTAAGGTCTGGAGACTGGCTGGGCCACTCCAGGACCTTAATGTGCTTCTTCTTGAACCACTTCTTTGTTGCCTTGGTTGTGTGTTTTGGGTCATTGCCATGCTGGAATACCTATCCACGATGCCCCTTACCATCCTGCTTAGATCAAGACTCTCTGGTGATGGTAACTCATGTTTTGATTGGCACCCAGCTGGACTCCTGCAGTGCACTCTGCCAGGGGCTGCCTTTGAAGGGCAGCTAGGCTCCGGATGGCTCACCTCCTGTCAGGTGAAGCTGCTGCTTGGCTGGCTCAATTCCAAGTGCCCGTTATTCCCTTTAGGGTTGAGTACCAGGATGTGTAGGCCGCGCTTTGCCAACTTCCAACCTGCTCATCCTGCTTCCATCTTGGTTGGCATATAGGGGAGGGTGTGAACCTGCTTTGGTGTTCCTCCCAGGCACAGGTGAAGATGGCATGAATGATAGTGGGCCCTGAGGGCAAGGTCAGCAGTGGGAAGGGGTGCCCAGGGCACATCAGGGGCTGCCTGGCCTGTGGTGCAGGTCATCCATCTTTCTGACCCTCTCTTCCTCTCTTCCTTCCCAGACGCTTCGGCTGCCCTGCAGGTCAGGGCCATGAAAGATTATTGCAACAACTACGACCTGACCAGCCTCAATGTCAAAGCCGGGGACATCATCACGGTGAGCCTCCAGTGGGTGCTGAATCCTGGGCCAAAGATGGCCTTTGACACGGTCCAGTTTTGCCACCAACAGATGCCCGGCTCTCACTTGAAAGCTTCTGCTGGGGGGGAAACCCACAAAATGGGGCCCGGCCGATCTGGTCTTTTCCTACCCAGCACCAAGGGGGCCGTTTCCCCTCATTGGCGGCCCTTTGCCGTGCCCCGTGGTGACGTGACTGCTTTTTGTGATGGTTTTGCCCCAAACTGACCTTTACTTCGGGTTTGGGCAAAATTGTGATGTTCCCTTAAAAACTGTGACGATTTGCTCAGCAACCACCGCAAAAAGGCCGTAAAGTCATGTGACCAGCCCACGTTTTGACAATGACGACTTTCAATTGTGTCGGGCAGGCTCCATTATGGCCATAACTTCAGGACCACCCGTAATAAGTATTAACCTTATGCCTTAGGGCACATGCGGAGTAAAGAATGGCCACTGGGACTGGCTCTGGGTTCAGATGAGAGGCCACGTTTTTGGACGGGCTGCTGGTAGTGGCATTTGTGGAGTAAAAAAAGTCAAGACGGTGGCTGGAACTGTCTGAGGGAAGCCTGCTGTCGCCATTTTGATTTTCTGATTTCCCCCTCGCAGGGGCCCGTGTCCCGGCCATTCCTTGCTCCCTTGGCCCTAAACGGGTGGGCTCGGATGCTTGCCGCTGACCAGCCATTGCCTCCTCTCTCCCCTCTCCCCCCCCACCTTGGCCACAGGTGCTGGAGCAGCATGCCGACGGCCGGTGGAAAGGCTGCATCCACGACAACCGGACAGGCAACGACCGTGTGGGATACTTCCCGTCCACCCTGGTCGAAGCCATCAGTAAACGTACAGGCAAATATCACTCCTGGGGGGCTTCCCAGCCTTGTGGGGAGTGGAGGGGCAGGGATGGGGGCTGCTTTTTCACCCTTTGTTCTCTTTTTGGCTGCCTGGGTTTGCTCTGCTTCGACTGGGTGCTTCCAGATAAGGATTTTATACATCGTGGAGGTTTAGGCTTGGGGGGTCTTTCCTTGCACCCCTAAGTCCTCTCGATTTCCTGTCTCTTTGATTTTTGCCACAAAAAGAGAGCGAGAATTGAGAGCAGAATTGCTGCACCCCCAGGCTTCGGGTTGGCTAACATCTGGAAGCATTCAGTGGGTGCTCTTGGATAAGAACAGATTTACATACTGCACGCATTTCATTTTACTCCCGTTAAAAGTAACCTCAAAGCATAGAGTAAAAAACATGTTGAAGAGAGAAAGCCAAAGGGATCAAATTCCAGCCAGTGCAATCAAGCAACGACTGAGCATCTCCTCAGGGCTGAAGAGCTCCATGGCCTGATGGGGCTTCAACGGGGACAGCAGCCAGCCCAGGCGGTCGGGAATGATGGAAGCCGCTTCCAGAGCTTCAGGAGCAAAGGCCCCTTTCCGGAATGAGCACAGATTGGAGATGTGCCTAGACAGCTTAGCCACAGAGAATAACAGAGTTGGAAGGGACCTTGGAGGTCTTCTAGTCCAACCCCCTGCACAAACAGGAGACCCTATATCATTTGAGGCAAACGCTTCTTGAAAACCTCCAGTGATGGAAAGCCCACAACTTCTGGAGGCAAGCCGCTCCACCGACTGATTGTTCTCACTGTCAGAAAATTTCTCCTCAGTTCTAGGTTGGAAGGATTCTCCCTTAGGACCTCCCCAACATTATGCAGACCCAGACCCAAAAGAGAGACTACCTGGAAGGGATGGTAAAACTCATTCCACCCGAATTATAGTTCCAGCATACCCAGAGAGTACTGGGTGGGTGAGGACTCCAATCTCTTCTAAACAGCCACAAACGTCAGGTCTTTGAATTGAATTCAGGTTTTTCCATGTGGAAACCTGGCCTTGTATCCCTGACTGTGACGTCTTTCCACTTCGCAAAAAAACCAAAGAGCTGCAATATTCTAGGGCAGTGGTGGCGAACCTATGGCACGGGTGCCAGAGGCGGCACTCGGAGCCCTCTCTGTGGGCACACGTGCAATTGCCCCAGCCTTGCCTCCCCCTGTGACCCCCTCACCAGCAGCTCCCCTGGAGGAGAGTCGCCCCCAAGCGTGGCCCACGTGGAGCAGCGCAGCCAAGGACATGGCAGCCAGGCAGCGTGGACAAGACTCTGCCCTCACGTCCCATCGCACACAGTTGATGCTGCGGGGCGCAGGCAGAGGGTGTGGCTGCCATGGTGCTGCTGGGCTGCCTGGGCGATCTGCGGCGGGCCCTGGAGGCGGTGAGTGGCCCTGTGGGCAGGCGGGGTGGGGTGGAGTGGGGGCGGGGCCAGTTTTTGGGCACTCTGTCTCTAAAAGGTTCGCCATCACTGTTCTAGGGTATCATTTTTCTGCCTTGGTCTTTTGAAGGTGCATGGACTTCAGTGCCCAGAATTCCCCAGCCCATCTGGAGGACTCTGGGAGTTGAGGTCCCCATATCTTCAAGTGGCCAAGGTTGAAAAAAAATCTGCCTCTAAATTTACCAGATCTGAGTTATCAAAATCAAGACGTCCATAAGAGGGCAGTGAAGGCCTAGTGTTTTGGAAGTTCTCTGGCACCCTCTTCTGGCTGCTCAGATGTGGTAGCCCAGTGGTTCTCAACCTTTTTAATGCCGCGACCCCAACCGGTCGTAAGTCGAGGACTAAACCGGTCGTACGTCGAAGACTAAACCGGTCGTAAGTCGAGGACTAAACCGGTCGTAAGTCGAGGACTACCCAACCGGTTGTAAGTCGAGGACTTTCCCTGCCCGGGAGCGCCGCGCATGCGTGGTTCCGCCCCCTGCGCCGGCCAAGGCGTAGCTGGCAAGCGGCAGAGACGGAGCAGGCTGACCACCAGCTGGCCCAGCCCAAGGGAGGTAAGGCACCCTCCGGAAAAGGGGAAAAAAATGGCGGACAAAAAAAATGGCGGACAGCCTTGCTTGGCGACCCCCGTGAAATGGTCGATCGACCCCAAATGGGGTCCCGACCCACAGGTTGAGAACCACTGTGGTAGCCCTTGCTGGAGTCTCCAAGCTGCTTTTTCAAAAAGGCAACCGGACTGTTTTTTCCCTTGAGGAAGAAGAAGAAAACGTTTCACTTCTCATCCAAGAAGCTGCATCAGTTGTGATCATCACTTGTGATGGTGGTGGTGGTGGTGGTGGGTACTATCTCCATAGATCCTCGCTGGAGATTTGTGAGGCGGAAGTTCTTTTGCACCAGATCAGTTGCAAATGGGAAACTCAGCTTCTCAACCAAGAATCACTGGAGGCTTTTAAGGAGAGGCTGGACAGCTACTTGTCTGGAATGGTATGGGGTCTCCTGTTTGAGCCTGGGGTTGGACTAGAAGACCTCCAAGGTCCCTTCCAATGCTTACTAGTCTGTAATCTCTAGCCTATGGCCTCAACCAGAATCTTGCTCTGTGTAGCTGAAGGAAAAATGAACCAGCTGCTTGTAGCCACAGCCTTAAACTGGGGTTTGCTGATATTCCTGTCCTACTTTCTCAAGGTTGGATGGCTCGTAATTAAATTTTTTACCTCTCCCCTCCTCCTGATTATTATTATTTTTCAGTCTAATACTTTGCTTTATTGCGACTGGAGATTTGGTGCTGGAAAAAAAGTAGTAGATTATCCTATTTAAATTCAGTTAGAATCCAGTTACACGTATAATTAATATTGTAAGCCCCAATTTCCTTTGAAGGCAGATTAAATCCTCAAGAGCGGGGTAGGTGGGAGAGCGGAACGGAGGCCTTAAAATCAGGTGAGGCCACTCCGGGGTTTCCTTGAACCTCGTGAAGTGCATTTCACTGAGCTGACGGTGACTTTTGAGCACGTCCTTGGCTGGCAGGAGTGTCCTGCAGGCTGCAGGCATCCCTTTTCTATCATAATAATTACCCAATCATCAATTGGGGAAGGCTTCTGAGCGCTCAGAAGGGTTTGCGTGCCAGATCTTAGAAGTACAATCGGCATATCCCTTTCGATAGGGGAGAAATTGAAGGAGAGAGAGAAAGAAGTTTGCTAGCGAGGCTGTTGCAAAAACCTGAGATTTCAATTGGGGAGGGTTGTCGGTCACTTGGCTGTGTGTGGCTCCTTCCTTCCATCTTGCGGGACCCCCAATAACCCCCTCCTGGTTCTCCTTCCCAGCCTGGAGCACCCACTTCATGTTGCCTCTTGTGTTTCTGTTATCAGGTCCGTGGGATGCAGACCCTTCCCCGGGGCAGTATCAAGCCATCTCCCTCCCAGCTGGGGGGGCTGCCCTGCCCAACGGCCTCTCTGCCCCCTCTATCTCCTCCTCCTCCTCCTCCTCTTCTCCCCCCCTCCATCAGCTCCATTGCCTGCCTCCACCTCCACTGCTTCCCCATCAGCCTCTTTTCAGTTCCTTCGGCTACCGCCGGCTCGCCCATGGCGGCACGGAAAGGCCTTGCGCCAATCCAGGTAGACCCTCCATTGCTTGGTTCATTTTACGTTGTGTTCTGTTATGCTTTGGCCATATTGGGTGGTCCTTCTACGGATCCCGACAAATATTTGTGCGCCTTTTCATTTTGCCAGGTTTCTTTTGGGTGCTTCGCATGTGCAGGCGTTTGTGGGTCAGCGTGTGTGGTTGGGATGATGGAAGATGAGGAGCAGGTTGATGCAGCAGCTGGGGCAGGGTAGGGGGTGAGAGGACACCGGGGACACTGAGGGCATCTCATGGGTGCTCTCACAAAATGGCTGCCATGGGAGGCGGGGCCAGTCCCAACACCTGTGGATTAGAAGACCAACCACCTGCCACCACTTCTCCCCCAGAAGGTCCCATCGCCTTCTGCTGATCTTCTAGACCAGGGTTCTCCAAATTTGGCAACTTTAAGAAATGTCGACTTCAACCCAGCATAGCTGGCTGGGGAATTCTGGGAGTTGAAGTCCACAAGTTGTCAAGTTTGGAGAATCCTGGTCTAGAGGGAGGTAAATGCTTTTGTCAACCACCCACCAAGAATTTCTTTCAAAAGAAATTTCTTGGGATCTTTAATGGGGTTGGGATGTGTCCTTGACCTTGGGAATAAAAATCTCATTAAATAGTGGTTCTCTCTTTGGCAACTTTCAGAAGTATAGATTTCAGCTCCCAAAATCCCCTAGTTTATATGACTATTGCTGAGGATTCTGGGAGTTAGGTCCACACATCTGGAATTTTGCCCTGGCTGAGGGACACAGTGTAGCAAGCCCATTTCCTTAAAAAAACAGTAACAGCAAAATAATAAAATAAGAGTTGGAAGGGACCTTGGAGGTCTTCTATTCCAATCTCCTGCTCAAGCAGGAGACCCTACACCCTTTTAGACAAAAGGCTGTCCAGTCTTACCTCTTCTTAAAAATTAACTTTAATTGGAGCTGAGAGCCTGATGACCAGCAAGGGATGAGCCCACCACTCTGATCTTTGTGGCTTCCCCTCACTCAGGAGCAGGATGTTTTCTACCATCACGGAAGTGCCGGAGTGGCCAATACTAAGTTATGCATCGTAGACATCCTGCTTTACATCTGCATTGCTCAGTGACAGAAATTCCAGTCCCAACTGCTGTTACTAACTGAGAACTCCTTGTCGAACTGCATGAAAAAGGAACGAGAGCAACAGCTTTGCAGCTTGGAATTTCTCAGAGCATTGGGGGGGGGAGCCCCCGTTTAGACCAGGGGTGGAGGAGAGAAATGGTGGGAGGGTGCAGTCGCTGTCCTGGGTGAGCTCCTGAGAGACTCCCTTTTGCCCAATATAGATAAATATTTTGATAGACATTTTATGTGCTGTTTTTGGGAATTTTTATGCCTTAATGCTGTATTCTGTTATGCCATACAATCTCTCCCTCTCTCTTTATCTATCTATGTATCTATCGTCTATCTATTATCTCTATCTATCTATCATCTTTCTATCTATCATCTATCTCTATCAACTATATCTAGTCTCTGTCTTCTGTCTGTCTATCATTTATCATCTATATCTCTCTATCTCTCATCTCTATCAACTATATCTATCTGTCTGTCTGTCTATCTATCATCTATCATCTCTTTCTCTCTCTCTCTCTCTCTCTCTCTCTCTCTCTCTCAACTATATCAAGTCTGTCTGTCTGTGTCTATCTATACAATCTCTCTCTCTTTATCTATGTATCTATCATCTATCTATCTATCTATCTATCATCTATATCTATCATCTATATCTGTCTGTCTATCTATCTATCATCTTTCTATCTATCATCTATATCAACTATATCTAGTCTCTGTCTTCTGTCTGTCTATCATCTATCAGCTATATCTCTCTATCTATCATCTATCTCTATATCTGTCTGTCTGTCTATCTATCATCTGTCATCTCTATCTCTATCTCTCTATCATCTATCTCTATCAACTATATCTATCAAGTCTCTGTCTGTCTGTCTGTCTGTCTGTCTATCTATCCATCTTATGTTGTATATATTGTATGGCATAACAGACTATAGCATTAATGCATAAATAATTCACAAAATAGCATATAAAATTTCCTATCAAAATATAAAACAGAGCAGTGAATAATTTTAAAAACACACAGCATGAGTGATCAATAAAATAATCTAAAATTAAATTATGTATGAGCAGTTACCGGGTGGCTCAGTTACTGGGTGGCTAAACCAATGGCCAGGATTTGCTCAGTGCCCCACGGAGGACGTTAGATGCAGATGGGGTGGAGGCTGGAGGGCCAGGAATTACCTCAGAAATTACTGCCAGGAGAAAGCTGGACTCGGAGGCACCTGCAGGAAGTGGTTGGGGAAGGAATTTGGACTGTGTGGTTTGAGAAATGGGAGACGGCAGAGGCTGCAGAGGATGGTCAGAAACGCCAAGATGGCACCGCCGTGGGGCAACCAAACCTCTGGCTGATTGTTATGCCATCACGGCTGTCTTGAGCTTCTTGGCCATGCCCTGCGGAGGTCCTGGGAGAAGGGAAGGGGTCTGAGAGCAAGTGTGTACGCCTCAGTTTCTGTTTTGTTTTCTTGACCCTCTTTATCATTTTGTCCTCTCCATTCCCTGACCTTCCACTACCCGAACCAACCCTCTCAGGCCCTGGGTGCTTCTTCAAGGATTTGGGGTCTTGTTTTCACAAGTGTTTAATCCAGTGTTTCTCAAACTTAGCCCCTTGAGGATGTGTGGACTTCAACTCCCAGAATTCCCCAGCCAGCAAAGCTGGCTGGGGAATTCTGGGAGTTGAAGTCCACACATCTTCAAGGGGCTAAGTTTGAGAAACACCGTTTCAATTAATACAGGGCGTGCCAGAGTTGTACCATTATGTACTTTCCGTGAGAATAGACAGAAAACCCCTTTTTCCTCCCCTTTACCAGCCAGCCCAGTCCTCAGAGATTGGGCCTTTGATCTTCTGGAGCTCCCATCTGGCTGCATCCATTTCCACTGGGACTGCAACACCCAAAATGCCAGCACATCTGGATGGTGCCGTACTGGGGAAGGCAGGCTGGCGCACGAGAGGAAGTGAATCGAACTCCCTTTTGGTGCAGGAGCATTCACTTCCGGGTTTTCCCATCCGAACTGGCTTGGACCACGGCACTAACAGTAGCATGGCTACAGGCGCTCTTGAGTGGGGGGGAACTTGACGGGAGCCCCATTTCCTCGCCGGGCGCCAGAGTGGAGCGTGGGCATCTCCCTTGGGTGTGCAGCCTCTCCCGGGGATGCTCAGTGCCACAAAGAACACA